TCAGGCGTTCCTAATGTGCAGGCTTCATCTTCTAGTCTCTACATGCCAGAACCTGATGATGCTGTAGCTCATGGAGATGCTAATCTTGCAGTTAATGATTTTTTGGCACGAACTTCATCCTAGCTAAGGTATTCTCCACCCTTTATTGCATTTAAATCCATTTCAATCAGAAGTACAACGGAGAACATTGGAACCTTTTTTCCAGAATTACCAGGTAGTCTGAGGAAGTTAAGCCTGCAGGTGATGTGTTGCCTGTAACTTATAGGGAGGGTAGATCAAAGTTGTATAAATTGAAATACTAATGAGAGAATTTAATTTCCCCCCCTAAATGATCTTTAGGTGCTTAGGATGGCAGGGGGGTTGTGGCACTGCCAAGCATTGTAGTGTTTGGTCCTCATCTTTTTGGAACATCAATTCATTCTTTTTTGGTGAGAAAATAGATGTACTTGAGGAAGAAGAAAATAAGGAAAATGACTAGAATATATATTGTTTTTTTTTACAAACAAATGCTTGCTTCACAATTGAGTTCTAATGCTCTGCAGTTGAGTTTATCTATTGTTGTTATAATATAAAACCACGGCTACCAGCTTGCTGGATACCATGTGAAGCATGTTTTTAAAAAATTTTGAGCATTATTTTGTGCCACAATTTTGCATCCTTGGAAACTTGGGGATCCTATGTTCCCTCAATGGGAAGGGAGAATAATTCATATAAGATAATCAGGAATAAAGACGACCAATCTCTATATTATCTTCGGGGAATCATATGGTTGGAGTTTCACCCCCCTACGATAAAGAAAATGAATTGAGGGCCGAAAGTTGGAGGCAAAAATTGGCTGCTGCCTACTTTATGTCCCAATTAGTTCTCCACAATATATTATTGAATTATTCCAAGTTGTGGGTAATGGGTGGTGGGGGTTCCAAACACATAGTCAGGAGCCATATTTTTGTTCTTTTTATCTTAAAAATATCAAAAATGTATTTTTTAGTCAAGATTATGGCCTTTGAATTTATCGAAGTATGTTTAGTAAGATTCTTCTCCGTGTCAACTAATAAAGACTATTTTAATAATTTTAACGGTTAAACTGCATTTTTGAAAAACAGTTTAGATTGAAAAACAAGATTCCCATTATCTTCCTGAATTGTGATGATCTATCAAATTTTATAATCCATTTCTGGAAGAATAATCTTTGCAGAAGAAAAATGATATCAAAGACACATGGTTATCAATGACGTCACCCATCTTAATTTGTGTAATAATTAGGAATAACCAAAGGAATTTTTCTTTTTTTTTTTTTATCTAATTTCACATTAATAAGCAACCAAATTCTGGTTTATATTGAAGTATATGCTTGGGTTGTCCCCTCCAGTATTAATTTTTGTTATCTAACTTGTAGTCTTCGCCATATTCTTGCTTGAAGCGAAAGGCATTTCTTCAGCATTAGGGTATAAAACATTTTCCATGCTAATTAAGCTGGACTTGACCTGCTTCCTTCGTCTCCAACTCCTTCTGCCCCCCTTTTGCAAAAGAAAAGCCATGCGTCCCTCATTGAAAAACCCTCCACAAGACAAGGGTTCTCAAGGTCCTAACCTTCCACAAACAAATCCGTCTCCATTTGTGGTTCCTTCAACAGATTATTCCCGGCAACATCAGAGTCCAAAACAAAGTCCCACAAGAGACCACCATGCTCCTTCAAGTTATCCCAACCAGAACCAACAAAGTCACCACAACCAGCAACTGCAGCTGCAACCAGCTCCACGAAGGGTTTCTTCTCCACAGAGAGATCCTTCAGAAGTTGATAATACTCAACCAACTGATCAAATTTCCAACAATTCCCAGCAACAGTCACTGTTGCTTCCAAAAGACAATTCTCAGCCATCAAGTTATCAAAGTTCCGATGATTACCAGCACTGCAAACCTCCATCTCCAGTTCGTCAACAAGAAAGCCCTCCAAGCTCTCAGATGTATCCAGGTTCACAATTTAATCCTGTAACAGGACAACCTCAAGCTGTAGTTCCTGTTATCACCGCCTTTCCACTTGAAAGCTACAAGCTTCCAACTCCAGATCATGTGCCAGGGAATTCTCCCCCAGAAGGATATCCACCTCAAGCACAACCACCACAGCCTCCATCGCCGCCTCCTCAAAAAGTTTGCTTCTGTTGTAACTGCTTTTGATTCAGTTATTGCTTAAACCATGTGTAACAATTAATGCAATGATTGGTTTTTCCAAAATTCACTATATTGTTATTGAAAATTATAAGCGTGTAAGAGTTTCCTATTTTTTATCCCAACTCATAAAATTTATAATTTTTGAAGTTATAATTTTGTAGTATCAGCTTCTAAAACTTTTAGCTCTCCACAAGAAGCTAATGTCAACCCCTAAAAACTGTATTTAGTTCAACAGTTCTACTTTTGCTTAAGCTTAGAGTCTTAGACGATACGGAGAAATGACATCATGTCATATTAGCTCATGGAAATGATAATCAATTCTGAACTGAGAATCCTGAATCCCACAAAACAAATAATAATAATAATAATAATAATATATTGCCTCCAATTTGAAAAAAAATTAGTGAACCTTAAGAAAGAGGAAAAATATTCTTTTTGACCCTTGGGCTAGGAATTGGAGCCACCAAGACTCATAGAGGTTCTATGTTCAAGTGCAATGAACAATAGTTAGGCATTCTCCATTTTTGGAAGACTAGTCATTGCAGAAGAAAAATTAATAACATCTCGACAGAGAGGATTATAATTGATGGCATACCTGGCCGTGCAGAAGAAAATGATCCATAAGCTTGTTTTGTACAACCATGTGGAACTATTCTTGCTTAAAGCAAGAGCAAAAGGCATTCCTTGTTAATCTTTAATTAAGAGTGTCTTTATTCACTGCATGTATGCTAAGCTGTACCTGACCTGCTTCCTTCATATTTAGAAAACCTTCTTTCCCAACTCTTCCCTTAGATTCAAGATCCTAGAAACCAAGACCAATTCAAGCCAAATCCAAAGGTAGAAAGGGCGAGTCATTCTCCTGAAAGGTCCCCTGCAGAAGATGCTTATTCTCAGTCAAGAAACCTAGATGAAGGCCCTACACAGGGGTATATAAGGCACCAGATCCAAACATCTCCTGGTGGAATTCCTTCTCCAGCAGCAACAAATACTACAAGAGTTGATAATCCCCAAATGAGTTATGAGGGTTCCTACAATTTGCAGCCACCACCACCCAGGCTTCCATCAGAACAAAACCCTCCACAAGGCAGGATTTCTTCTCCACAAAGTTATCCTTCAAAGGTTGATAATCATTCTCAACCAAGTGATCAAAGTTCTGACAATTCTCAGCAACAGCAGTCACAAAATCCTCCATTTATCAATGTTTCAGTCTCAATCAATTTACCTCCACAGAACCCAAAACAAGCTGCACCAGTTTCAGATAGTGCACAAAGGCATTCTGCTCATCCAGAAAGGTATCCACCTATACAAAACTAGGACAAGCTGCACCAGTTTCAACCTATAATAAGCATTCAGCTGAAGACAGTGCACAAAGGCATTCTACTCTTCAAGAGGGGTATCCACCTCTACAAAAACCAGGACAAGCTATGCCAGTTCAATCTATAATAAGCCTTCAGTTGAAGATAGTACACCACTTGGGTGACCCAACCCTCAGGAGGGGTATCCACCTCTAAAAAAACAGGACAAGATGCACCAACTGCAATCTATAATAAACCCTCAGTTGAAAATAGTGCACCACTTGGGCGTTCCACTCCTCTAGAGGGGTATCCACCCCTGAAAAAAAGAGGACAAGATGTGTCAGTTGCAATCTACAACAAGCCCTTAGTTGAAGATAGTGCACCACATGGGTGTTCCACTCCTCCAGAGGGGTATCCACCTCTGAAAAAACCAGGACAAGATGTGCCAGCTGCAATCTATAATAAGCCCTCAGTTGAAGATAGTACACCACATGGGCATCCCACTCCTCCGGAGGGGTATCCACCTCTGAAAAAAGTAGGACAAGAAGCACCAGCTGCAATCTATAATAAGTCCTCAGTTGAAGATAGTGCACCACTTAGGTGTCCCACTCCTCCAGAGGGGTATCCACCTCTGAAAAAAGCAGGACAAGCTGCACCAGCAGCAATCAATAATCCACAGCCTCGTAAGAAATCGTGTAACTGCCTTTGATTCAGGTATTTGCTGAAAAGAATATTACTTTGTATATATGTGTTGTGAAGTAACCCATATTATCCCCTTCCCAGCTGCCAGCAGTCATCATTAAGGAACCGTTTCTCCAAAATTCATCATGCTTTACAGTATTGGTTTTGAATAATAAGCCTTAGGTCATAGATATTACACATGAGGCATCCTACTGCTCTGGAGAGATATCCACCTCTTCAAAGACAAGGTGCAGCTGTGCCAGCTTCAACCTATAACCAGTCTTCAATTGAAGATGCTGCACGTGGACATCCTAATCCTTCAGAAGGTATCAACCTCGAAAAAATCAAGGCAGAGCTGAGCAGAAAAAACAGCACTGCCACTATTGCTGTCTCTGATTTTGTTGTTGCTAAAAAGAATAATGCTTTGTACATGCTTCATATGTATGCCTTCATTATGTTGAGTAGTATCTCCTCAATTTTCACAGAAATTGAAAAAACAACTAAAAAATCTAAAGCAGAAAACATAGACGACTTCCAGAAAAATGTCATTCTTCATAACTAAAGCAGAAAAGGAATTGTAAATTTTCTTTTTTTCATAAAACCAAGCATATAAGTTCATACAGCGGTATGGATATAACAAAACATATTACAAATTCAATTCTTTGGTGAAGAATCAGGCCAAACACTAACCTTTTCTTTCTCATACTTCACATACAGAGCAGTAACCGCAGTAACAAAATACACCTGAATCAAAACAATGGCGGGGGTGTGATAATTAATCAGGCTCTTACCCGTTGCTAGTTCAACCAAAAGCAGCGCCGTCAACCCAAGAATCGCAATCCGCCCGTTTATCCTCTCGCTGTAGGGGCTAAACCCGAAGTCCACTTTCAACCCGCCTGAAATGGGTTCTTTCAAGGGCACAGGCGGGAGGTACATGGAGGAGCCGGGTCCGCTGGTAGACCCAGTTTTCTTAGACTTCCGTTTCTCCGCCTTCTTGCCGGAGCCAGTACGGTAGCGGAGACGCACTTGGGAGAGGCGGGTGTCGAAGGGGTCCTCGTCGGCTGAAGATTCTGGTTTGGCAGGTTCCTGCTCCGAGGTGGAGGAGGATTGGGGGTCGGTGGCTCGTGTTCTGAAACAGAGAAGAGATTTTGGTTCGCGGGAGAGAGTCCGCGGGGATGGGGAACGGAAGGGCGTGGTGAGCTGTGGAGATGAGGTTGGTGATGGCAGTGTAGCCATTGCTGTTTCTTCCTTAGCCTGTTCTGTTTTCTCTGGATAACAAACTAGCAACCAAACCAACTATGATGATTTTTTTTTTTTTTTAAATCCCCATTTATTGTTTTTTTCCTTTAAAGTTTTGGAATTTTTAATTTAAAAAAATATGTTATATAGGTCATATTGTTTTAAGTTATATAATTTTAATTATTAAAAAGTAAATAAAGGTTTCTTTCCTTTGTATAATCAGTAAATCAGACATAATTTAAAGGATTCTTATAATTTATATTTTTAGAGTATAGAATAAAAATATTTTTATAATAAATTTATATAA